ACTAAACAACAAAAGTTAACTATCCTAGACAAAAGGCTCTTAATTCAGATAATTTGCAAATATCCATCACGAATCACCCCCTTTGCCTCGTCAACATACATACACCCCCCCCAAAAAAAAAAAAAAACACACACACACACAACACAAATAATAGAAAACATTTTCCTAAATTAAATATTCATACTCTCCAAGTAATTTTTATCACCATATTAAGGCTTAAATGAAAGGGCTTCTATACATAGAGACCATTTACCTTTGGTACAAGATGGTCACAATTACTTACAACCATCCAAATTAAATTTTATTGCTTAGGTGTATCACAAAGTTCGAGAAAATTACTTTTGAAGTTTAAGCTTGGTCAATTGAAAAAATATGCAGCCATCCAACTTCACATCCAATGGTCAAGAATAATTGTGACCGCCTTGTACCAAAGGTAAATGGTCTCACTCTATACTTTTCCTTAATAAAATATTCATACTCTCCAAGTAACTTTTATCACCATATCGAGGCTCTTAGCACACACGAAAAGATTCAAACCTGAAACCTAAAAGAGTAACTCTAAATTCTTAGAGCTTCAGACTCCTAGATGCAGCAGCCTTCCTGGCTGAAGCATAGAGGGTTCGCATTAGCCAAAGATTTTTAGGTTGGAATTTGCTTCAACTACAGGGTGATTAGAAAGCAAGTCAAAAAGAATGGGCCACCCAGTTGCAAAACAGATATAGAAGGCTCCTAATAAGCTTCAAGCCTCATGTGTTGGTACTTGGTAACAACCAGCACGTTTATCGTAGTCCTCTCCCACAAACCAAATGAACTCATGATTCCTAGAAATATAACTTTCCTAAATTTGATTATGGCAGTCTTTTAATATGTAGCTTAAGAAGGACATTCTTTTGTAATTATATCTTCAAATATAATTACAAAAGAATGTCCTTAAGCGACATATTACAAGATTGCCATAATTAAAATCATCATAAAACTATTTTAAGTCCCATGAAGTCCATAAAACTTCCCAATAACCTGTAAACATGGACTCCATAATAAATTTAAGTTCTCCTTTTGAGGGTAAAATTTCAAGAATTAGATACTATATAGCACTTAACCCACCAATGCAAACTTGCAAAGCCAACATCTCCATGCACAATATCATATATATAACTACCAAAACCATGACATATTATCCCAAGGCAAAAGATAAAAACCAGGCATTGGAATGATTTCATTTATTTAAGGTGAAAATTATTAAAAGACATGATTTCAAATCCAAGGGAAGTTCAGGTCAATAGAAAAAAGAACAAAACATTACAACTGAATATATGATATTAAAACAGAACAATGCGTAGCAGCAATAGAAAAAAGATAAAATGGCACATAACAAAATAGCTTGAAAAGTTCAGGTCCCCAATCATTCATTGAAATATAAACTAGATGAAATAAGCATGGGCCTACCTTTTACCAGCACATTCAATATTGATGACCTAAAAAGAATATGGCAGAAAAAAAGAGGACAATAACTGCCATACCACATGACTATACAATGCATAGACATATTATGCCAACTCCTATGCTCATGACGCAACTTTCTCAAATGGGACTCTTCAATCCCTGCTACATAAATCCCATATTGTGTCCTACTTCTTCCAAATTGAATCAATCCAAAGCACGTTAGAGAACACAAACTCGGGTCGGAACTCAAAAGGGTTCGGAGTCCAAGTCATGTCTAACAAACTGAGCCGAGTCTGTCAGAGACTCGGCCAAGTCTGTCCAAACAAATATAAAAGAATTATGGGAACCAAGCCATGGCAACTGGCCAAAATATAGGCAGTGGTCCTATAAATGCATAACCTACATTTAGGAAGTTTCAGTATGGCCAAACCTAATATGGAATATAACCTTGGAAAATTTAGGTGCTTCAGCATACATATTACACATAAATGGCAACATTTCCATTCTTGTAATTCCTATTGGTATCTACAGTAAATGAAAAATAAACATGGAAAAGCACAAACAAGATGAAGAATTCACTTACTGGCATACAAATATAGCAATAAAAACCCACAAAAATATATGGATTAAAATCCACAAAAACATTATTATGAGGGAGAATGCAGCACACTTAAGAGACAATTACACAACATATGGAAGCCTTCCAGCTTCCATAAAACATATTTTGACGTTGTTTTTGCATGCCAACGGAAAGCGGCATTTCCATCTTGCGGCTTCCATGGGTGTGCAACAAACATGGGAGTTGTGGTTGGGTTTCCCACTACCCAAAAAGTTACACCAAAACAAATACGCCCTTAAGTTATCAAACCTTTATATGGTATGATGCACTAGCTCGGTAGTTTTCTCTCTTTTATTTTTTTTGGTTTTTTCATTGGTATGCTTAACTGAGTACTTATCAATACTTCAAACCATGTGTATGCAATGCACGACGCACTCAGTTACTATCAATGAAATGATTCAGTTACCCACTGGTAAAAATGACTACATCAACTGCATCTTTTGTTCCTCCATCCAAAGCATAAATTGAAGGGGGTGTTTGTTTTGTGGAAGCCCCACTCCCACAAAGTTCGGAAGCCACTCCTTCAATGGGTTACTATAGAAGGGGCCGGTTCCTAAAAACAAAATCAAATTGACTTTGTTTATAGGTCCACTGGAAGCCACATGTTCCCAATTCCGACATCCACTCCAGCATAATAAATGCAGGAGTGCACAGTTCGTGGAAGCACTGGCTTCCACAAAATGAACGTGCCAGAAAATCCAATCACATTTGACTTTCTGAGGAATGTAATATAGTTTCATCAGTTTCGTCACGTTACATGCAATACCTAAACTACGAGAAAACCCCAAATACTCATCATAAAGTTATTCATATAACAAAGGAATATGAATAGAGAACTTACCTTTGAAGACAGAAACCAGCGTACATGAGAACGAAGAAAAGGGAGTATTTGCTAAAAGCCAATCAACTGAAAGTTGCAAATGAACAACATAATTGTGCATCCATGATTTGGATCAAATGGCAAAGCATGTGTCATACAGGGAGAGAAATAAGACAGACAGAGAGAGAGAGAGAGAAGGGTGGATGATGGGAGGGGAGGGAGATAAAAAGTGAAGGAGAGAAAAGGAACCACAAAAAGAATTTTGATAAAATGAAAAAAAAAAAAGACACTCCAATTCATTAACTTTCAGTCCATCGGTCAGACTCTATAAATCATGGCTTTCCAAATATCCCAATGTCTCAAATTTAACGCAGTAACATAACTAAGAGAACGGCGGCCCATATTAATCCTGAAATTAACTTACAGAGGCTCTACCATTATGTACAATGCAAAGAAAACGGCAAAAGAAGCAGACCAACAAAACATAGAACCTACCAAGACAAAAGATAGTTAAGGCCAACAAGGCAACAACACACCTAACTCTACTTAATTGTAACAAACTTGTTGGTACCATGCTTTGCCCAGTGGGTCTTCAAATCTATCTGTTTACTAAGGTCGTGTCCATCAGCCGCAACCTTCTCCAAAACCTTTATGAAAGCTCCACCACTCATCTTGCGCCCAGCTATGCGAGCTCCACGCCTCTTCTGGCTCATTGGCAAAGGATACATTGACATCTGTGTTGTGCAACAAGCCGACTGCCACCCTCCACACCCCCATCTATAGCATTGTTGAGCTACCCCAGTGCATGAGCAAACAGGGATAGGAATACCAGCAATATCAACTGGAATTCCTTTTATAACAGCATTCCAGTTCTTCTTACCAGACTTATTAGTAGAGGTTCGAGCCCCATTTTGATCCTCTTTCGGGGCCTTCACCTTCGGTTTCTTGGGTTTTTGAACCTTGAGGGTTCGATTTCCCTGCTTTTTCTTTGATTGAGTCTCAGTTTTAACTGGTGGGGGGTTCTCAAGAGGCATGACCTGGTTTGGTTGGGGCATTTCAGGAGGCATAATTGGCAACACATGGTTGTTATTGGTTTGGGGATTCGGTAAAACCGATGAGTAATCCTTCGATTCGAAATTGGGATTGCCTGAGAACATTTCGAAATGCTTCGCAGTGTGGGGTAAATCCCTCTGGTTCATCCAATTATCTCGAGGAAACTCCATTGAAGAAGAGATAGGTACCCCACATTCCGGAATAGAGGGATTCCTAGTGGGGTAATTTGAGGTTTGAATGACTGATTTCTTCGCTAAAATGTCACGGTCAGCAACTGATGACATCAACTGTAGCCCTAGAGTCTGCTTCAAAGGCTGATCGATGTAACCCCAGTTACGGAAACCCAATCCAGCGTCACTATCCATCAAAGCCAGCAGAAAAACAATTGAAGCAACATATGATGTGTCAAGTTCTTGCTCAACCCATCTATATGCCCAATCTAGATCTACGAACAAGCCCTAGAAAAACCCATTAATGTATCATAATCATTCCTTCAAAGAAATAGACGATTCATTTATCAAAAGAAAGAAGAACGAGAAGGGCAAAAAAAGGCAGGAAAAGATCGCAGTGTCAGAAGACTTTCCTACCACAAATCAGTTCCAGTAAACCAAGAAAAACCCAAAAATAAAGCATAATCATTCACTCAAGAAAAAAGGATTCATGAAGAGATGGGATGAGGAGAACCGAAGAATAAATAGCAAAAGAATGAATTAGATTAAAATTTTGAAAAACCTTGCACTCATGCAAATCAGTTCCACCAACCCCAAAAACGCAGATTTAACAGAAAAATACTACCTCCAAATCCGTCGTAAAACCTAACTGAAATTACACGAAAATTGCTGCAAAAAGCATATATTTGCCTTTCCGTTAGAAAAAGAATCTCATGTTTCATATCTGCTAAGAAACCCCAGCAAGAACAGAAAGATCGCACAAGAATTCATCCAAATCACAGAGAAATCCCGAAAACGAGCTCCATTAAAAATCTGAGTATTCAAGTACCGATCTTTTTAGGGTTTCAAGCGTTGACATGAAAAAAGCACATAGGATCCCATAAGAGGAAAGAAAACCGTTGAAAAAAAAATAGCGATAAAGAAAGAAATAAAGAAGAGAGAGAGATGAGAGAAACACAGAGAGAGAGGGAGAGAGAGAGAGAGGAGGGGAGAGAGAGAGAGAGAGAAACACAGAGAGAGAAGCGAGAGAGAGAGAGAAGGCATACCTGAACAAGGGCTAGGGTTCTCCGCCTGAGATCGAGAATGGGTCGCTGTAATAGAGAGAGAAAGATACGATAAATAGAGAGAGGGAAATATAAATATACGATAAATAATGACATTTCCTTGTATTTAAATGATTTTATGCGCATGTACAAATGCCAATGTACTGCAAAGGCCACTTTAATATTTTTATTTTCTCCTTTTTAACTAAGTTTAGTAAAAATCGCATAGGGTACCCTCTTCAACACTTATCTCCCCCATCTATCCCTACCCAAATTTAGTAGTTAAGACTTAATGAAATTATTTGCAAAATCTAGCAATCAAATATCAAAAAGTGGAACCGTGACTGTTCACAAATACTCTTACTTACAGTTTGGATAGGATATCCTCCCAAGGCTAAGATAAGAGGGGCATCAAAACATAAAGTCCCCCCAGTCTTTATGAGTCCCCCAACTCGTATTATTCTCATGTGGGATCCCTCTAATACCCATTTTTTATGTGGATTTCGGATCCAAATTTGTAGAGGTCTATGATCTACACTATGATGATCATGAATATAAAAAATAAAATAAAATTACTTATACTAGATTAGCTCTCTAATAACTTAGCAAAAGGTCAAAAACCAATCATGTTATGTTACTCGAGTAGGAGTATAACTTTAGTCATCCATGGTATAATGACAAGAGCAAGACCTTATTCTTTGATAAAGGAGTTCATGGTTTCAAATGGTAGGTACTTTTCTTTGGCAAGTAGCAATTACTTTAAGAAGGATTTTACATACTGTTTGGGCATGAGAACAAGTGATGGATGCAATAGTCCTATCTAGATGTTCATGTGTTTTAGGTCAATCTCGCCAAAATGCTTATAGTGGCCTACACGTGTAAGCCCGTTTTATCCGAAACTTATCCGACCGTCCGAAGGGGTGGGGGCAAAATGGCGAACCCCAATAAATAAAGGACATAAAAGTAATGAAGCAACATTCTCCGATCAAAATACTAAAGGTGTCAACCCTATTTTGGTCAATTGATCTGCATCTTCATTTACCTCTCTCTGAATGTAACGGATAGAATGTCGTGATCAGGGGATCCGATCAGGATTTTCTCCATTATGTCTGAACTTCTATTAGAAAAACTTACTCCACACGCGGCCATTGTAATAAAGTCAGTAGAATCCCCATCCACAGGGAACCTGACATAAAAGAACTGGTAGCTCATTTTGGATCATGTTGTGTTGCCGAAGCCGACGAGGCTGGAAAATACCTAACAAGTTGTCCTCGAGGATTGCCTAATTATCCATTGTGTACCTGAAGATCTTAAATTCTCACAAGCGTTGTCGTAGAAATTTAAATTAAGGGCAAGGCCAGTCCGCCTAGGTACAGTCTATGTTAAAATCAAAATGTGCCACTCTCTTACGAGTCCATAGCTTCTATGAGTAGCAATGTATGTGATCCTGAAAGATCTTATGTTGCTCCGGTTTAAGTAGATACATTTGAAAAAAGAAACTCACATAGAGATATCTATATATAAATATAATCCCATATGTTTTTTTGAGGTGAGTGAGTGGGACGAGGGTCTCTACCCTTGGTAGAAATTGAGTCAAGGAGTAGCCTTACAATTCGTCAAGCACTAACTAATTAAGCCTGGATTTTTTTCCTATAATCTCAAATGCCACACATTGGGAACAACAACACAATGAGACATTCTAGAAAATAATTTTGTAATCTCTGAAAGTACATTTAAGGAAAGAAGCTCAAGTATTGTTTCTCATTCCCTGGTTCAAGCATGGAGAGCACCACCAATTTTAGAAGGAAAACAAAGGTATGAATTCTACAAAACTTCCAATCTTGAGATGAAACTATCCCAATAATCATTGATATTCATGAATAACAACAAAATTCTTGATTACAAAGGTAATGTGAAGCTTTAACTAGCAAATTAGGTTAAAGGGCATTAGTGAAATTGCTAGGTGTGAACAAGGGCATGTCCTTGGGCAATATTGATGCATGCATTCTTTGCAACACATTGCAGGTGCATAGCGATGAATCTAATGTGCACCATGCTATAAAAGGTGCAAAGGCTAAAGCCCTAGGCCATGTGGCGTGGAACAAGAGGGATTCATTAAATAGGGGATTCGCCAATTGTGTACGCCCCTCCAATGGTAGTTAGGGTTTGAGGACAAGTTGCAATGGCTTCCACTAGAGATGGTGTGCATGTCACGAGGAAATGGCCACATTGCCATTGCAACTTTTCATAAGAGATTAGTCAGAGGGAGGGAGGCATCACTTTAAAGAGTAAAGTCTGGCTTGGTAAATTTGCCTCTTTCTTTTGATTTTTGAAAGCAATAAATGTGATCACTCGATTTTTTTTATTTATTTTTTTTGAGAAATGCACATTATTTTTTACAATGGGAAAATGATTTAGTGGGAGTGGCAATAGACCCAACCAGACCCGACAACTAGCCCTGACCTCGGGTCTGGGTATGAGTTCAAATTTTGAATCGAAAAGGTCGGGTGCAGGTCTAAAAATTGGACCCTAATGGACCCTACCCAAATAATGTAGGTATATGTGAGTATTAATAAATGTTGCCAACTACGTTTGTTTCCTAGGAATTTATGGTTATTACATAACACAGTAAGGAATATGGGCATTCATAAATATTGTGCAATACTTGTAAACATTGCTAATAATATGGGTATATGATAAATATTGTGCAATACTTGTAAACATTGCTAATAATATGGGTATATGATGGTAAACTAAAGGACAAAAGAAAAAAAAAGCTCATAGTCATAGGGTGGAATTGGACCCGACCAAACCCGGGACCAGACAGGTAGACCCGACCTCGGGTTTGGATGTGGCTCCAAATTTTGCACACGAAAATCGAGCCCGAGCTTGGGTCCAGTCGGACCCAAACCGTTGGCACCCCTAGGATTTAGTGGTTTGGCAATGAGCCATCAACACATGGTCGGGCTCAATTAAACATAATTGGGGATTTTTTTTATCTCAAGTCATCATACCGGCCTCGAGATCAATTTCAATAAAGAGAAAAGCTATGGAGCTCAAAGAGGGTTCCAAATCTGTTCTCCCTCAAAGCGAGTATGAGGTATATAATCAATTTAGAACTTGTTTTAGGTCGAAATCCTCTCCTAGCCATTCTGAAACATGAGAGATTGAGGATTGAATATATGGGATATTTGAACAAAGTGTTTGAAAACAACTCAATGGGATGGACAGGGTTTCGTTTAAAGTATGCCAAAATACTGCTATTTTGACAAACCACCTAAGCAGTGACCTACAAATTATGTAGAATAAAATATAAATATAACATCTTCAAGTTGAAAGCAAGAAAGTAAAGGTTTTGAAGTCAACTAAACAATTAAAATCAGAAAAATGAATAAAATAAAGCAAAAAGAGAAAGAATGATCACTCAG